GCGACTGCCGCTCTCGTCGCTGTTCCTGTAAAACTGGTTTTATTGGAAATGGAAACACATGCACAATTAAAAGTCATATAAACCCTGTTGTTATCGTAGACTGGATTTGCATCTCATGACAGAACTGGCACACTTGATCTCTTTACAAACGCACACGATTTCTTATCGTGATTCTGAAACTACAGAATAAAATGCTTATCGAAAAATAGCTAGACTCGTATCCAAGAAGTATTGACGAGAACAGAGTATCTAACATGTCATATATTTTCTTTCAACAAACATTACACCTGGAGCACTTTGACGGGGCGATAAAAAGAATCGGCATATCTCAAATTGTGTCAGGCGTACTAATACACCAGAAATTTCGATGACGAAATACCTTGTGTCACTGTTTATCATAATTTTCAACAACCTACCCATTTGCACGGACAGATATTGAAGAGTACGGCAGTGGTATTCATGATCATCTCTTTCACAACTCAGCCTCCTGCGTCGATACTCTCAAAACATCTTTAGGGCATGGATGGCCCTTGCGTGGTCGATTTAATTTCGGGATGAAGCTTTTGGGAAAAGAGAGAAATATGCGCTTAGATGGCCGAGATAAAGGAGGGAGAGGGGAATGGGGGAGGGGGCTTAGTCCAACCCAAACATGGTGATAGATACTGCAAATAAACTTTAACTGAAAGAGCCAAGTCCAGCAAACTGCTGAGTTAATTGCTGCCGATTCTTCAGAAGTTGAGGAAGGGTACTCCACAATACATTGTTACGCACGTCTTTGCTATTCTAAGTGTTATTTTAAGGTGATAGAAGGTCGCGTAGGAGAGATGTCCCTTTGAAGTTATAAAATTAGTTTGGAGGAAGCAAGTAAAATCGCTTTTCTTTGGGGAATGAGCCCTTGTCAGAAGTTCTTAGAAAAGTCTGAGAAAAAATCGGTTAAAAAATTTTTTTCTTTTTTACCGATATCGACGAGTGCACCGCTTCTCCATCCGTATGTGACACTAACGCTCATTGCGAGAACACGGTAGGCTCCTATCGCTGTGCCTGCAAAACTGGATTTTTCGGCAATGGAAAAACTTATGAACGTAAGAGTCTTTGGATTCTAAGGGAGACCACATCTCTCTGGAAAAAGAGAAAAACAAAAAAAGGTCCAGACGGACAGGTAGATAGGCAAAAGGACTAGGCCACAGACTGAAGTCAATCCACATTTCCATTGGCCTTTGTCACTTATATTAGCAGATTTTAGTCCCTTTTAATTATTTTTATAGCTGGATTTGGGGTTGGTGCATTTAAAGGACGCTTTGCACTATACAAAAGTTTACTGTTCCGCGGAGCGCCCGCTATCTCAACAAAGCTTGGGGCGCTCGGGGAGGAACCCATTCATACGCTTATGGATACTTTCCAGGGATATATTATGGTGTAAAGGGGGTGTTTAAAGAAGGGAAGTTCAGACTGAGTAATGCAACTGTGCTAAATATTGTGGTGGGACAAAGAGGAGGAGTTTAGGTGGAGGTCGAAGGCGGACAGAACACTAGCCATACTGCAGCTCAGCTTGGAAAATCTGGGAAGGACAAAGCTGGCACTGGAGGAGGGGGAGGAAGTTTTGTTTATACTACCGATAATGTGCTGTTATTGGCTGCCAGAGCTGGAGGAGGTGCATCCGGTGGATACAATGCTATGGATGGTCAGGCAGGATCAAATGGTACGAGTAGTGTGGGGAAAGTATCGACACAAGTTCGAGATGGAACTCATCCGAAGCGCAGCCAGGTGAATGCAACGGTGAGAGAGCTAGCTACCATGGAGGAATAGGTGCGGGTTGGTTTGGTCAGGATTGTGCTCGACTTGTCCCCTCCCATGAGAAAAGAGGTAAGTCACGTGCCGAAGCTTGGGTCGGAGGTAAAGCCGGAAGAATGAATAGCGGTAATAACGGGGGCCCTGCACCAGGAGCAATTGGAGGGTTTGGTGATGGTGGAGGGGGATCAGAGGATAATGGCGCATCAGGTGTAGGTGGTGGATACTCTGGGGGAGGTAGTGGTACCTATGGAAATCAAGCTGGAGGGGGAGGAGGCTCGTATTTTAATGGGGAAGGCTGTTCCGGTTTGACTGGTGGCAACTCATATGAAGTTGGCCCTGTACAAATTTATGAATGGCTGGGTTTATTTCAAAACATTATTTGATCATTGAGTTTGGTTTTCTTGAACAGATTCTCTGTATTGCAAAAAGATATACATCGGCGAGACAGGAAGACAACTAGGTGACCGATTCTGAGAACACCTCCGCGATGTAGAAAGGAATGACAAGGACGCATCAAAACCAGTCGCTAGACACTTTAACCTACCTAATCATTCTAAGCGACATATGGCATTCTGCGGTCTTTGCTTGCATTTACGTAGCTCCGATAGCCGCAAAACTCTTGAACAAAAGTTTATCTTTCAAATCCACACTCTTAATCCCAGAGGTATCACCGAACACTTTTCATTCTACTAATTAATTTTATTACATGTTTTTCTCATCGCCATGTCCCCACCAATGGCGTAGCTCCACTTTCTGAACATGAATCCACATACAACCCACAATTCCTCCATTCGCTCTGACGAAGGGCTAACACTCGAAATGTTATTCCTGGGGAAGTCTCTTACCCCTGTTGACTCAGCAAGAGACTTGAGTGTGATCATTGACTCAGACCTGACCTATGATCGTCACATTTCTTACTTAGTCTCTTCTTGTTTATCAAAACTAATCCAGATCAACAGAGTTAAAAACAGTTTCGACAAGGAAACACTAATGCCTGTTATTTTATCACTGATATTCAGCAAAATGTTCTATTGTTCAACAGTGTGGTCAAATACATCCTCCACTAATATAAAGAAACTGCAACTGGTCCAAAACTTTGCTTGTAGGATCATCACCGGCTCCAGGAAGCACTAACGTCTCACTCCCCTATTGCACCAACTTAACTGGTTGTCAGTGAGCCAGACACTTCACCTTAGAGATACAGTTATGGCCCATAAGTGTGTCAATAATTTAGCACCCGACTGTTTAGGTAACAAGTTACAAAAACGCACCACCATACATGATCGAGCCACGAGGCATAACAACAAACCTCATATCCCTTTTTATAAGTCCGCGAACGGTTAACGAACCTTTTCCTATAGAGCAGTTTCACTATTAAATTCCCTGAGTAGTGACCTGGTGAACTTCTCTTCAGAAAGGTCACTGACACATTCTTTGAAGGACTTCCTGAAAGGGGCACATTAATAGTCTTTGTATGATACCCATTGGATATAAATATATATATATATATATTTTTTTTTTTTTCATTTTTATTACCCTATTTTAAGTTGTTCATTTGTGTTTGTAAATTATCTACCATTGTAAATAGTTGCTGAAAAGCCTGAACAGGAGTAATTATTAAAGTTAATTCATTCATTCACTCATGTCAACTTTTTAACTTTTTACGGTGCCCCCACCAACGGCTGCTCACATTCGAACATTCCTTTGCCATTGTAATGTGTTATCCAATCAAAATAAAGTTATTGTCTGACAAACAACCAATGAACACGCGATATATTTATTCCCGCGAATTCACAGGAAGCGCGTTAGCGTTAGTTTCCAAAGATGGAATCTGATGTCATCGAAACTCCGAAGAAAATATCAGATAATGATCGCTGTTTTGTTTGCCCAAATTCTGTGGGCAAATTTATAAAAACATCTCTTCTCTCTTCTATAATTACTGTTATGGCTTCTCTCTGATGCGAATTCAAGCTCTCAATACCGAAAGTATCTCGCACTAAGTCGAAAGCGTCTTCATTTTGTCAGTTTCAACGCTCGGATAATACGAACTCTGTGATTGGTTTGATTATTGAGGCGC